TTCCCTAGTGTTTTTCAGGGAAAAGGCTGGAAGCACAGCGCTATCACTGCCTGTGTGCAGTGGAAGCAGGAGATCATCCTGTGTGCAGGGGCAGCACAGACAACCACAGCACACAGAGCGTCTCAGCTCAGTTCTGCAGCTCTGCCAGCTCCATGCAAAACTCTCCCTTGCTGCTCCAGGCCACGGGAATTCTGCTGGGTGACTGTGAAATTCAGCATGCCCTGAGCTGGAGACATCAGGGAGCCAGGACAGGGATGGAGCAGCCTGTGGCTGGGAGGGAAGGAGGTTTTGCACATACCACAGGCTGGGGGATGGCAGGAGCAGACAGAAAAAATTGTATTTTGCTGAGGGACACACATGACCATCCTGGCAGTGGGTTCATTGAGCACCCAACTGGCAGCCCCTTTCCAGGGTTATGTTCAGCACTAGCCTGGGACATACCCTTGGTTGGCTGAATTGAAATTCCTGAAGACCTTACATCAGCTAAAGCGGCAAAGTTGTCACAACACCCTCACCCCAACAGCCATAACTTAGTTTAGGAGCAAGGACGGGAAACAACGACCAAGCAAACACCAAAAGCATCTCTAGGCTGTAAGTTTGGCTTGAAATGCGTTTTAAATGAGTTTTAAATGAAAGACTACACTTGAGTAGCAAAGTAAGCCCCAAGCTGCTCAACACCACACCATCTGTCAGCAAATCCCAGCAGCTCCAAATCTGCAGATCTTGGAGCACCCACTCCCCCAGCTCAGCAGCTCCCAAGGGCTGGCTCAGCTCCCCGGGAGGGAAGGGGTGCTGCCTGCGCACCTGCAGGGTGAGAAACGGAGCTGAAGGCACACAGGTCCCTGCCCAGGGCTGCTCTAGTGATCAGAGCAGCTGCCATCCCACCACCACTCTTTTCATCACCATCATCTTTTGTGGCTGCCGCTGGTGCCCACACACCTGTCAGCAGGTTCAGGGGAAGGAGAGCATGAACTGTGACCTGGCACTGTGCCCTCAACACCAGCACCGATGCTAAAGCCCCCGAGGGACCCCTCTCCATGCAGGAGGCTCGAAAGGACCAAGCCTTTCTCTGACATTTACTGGAAGTCAGCGCTCCACGGCTCTGTGCGTGCCTGGGAGCCGCTTGGCTGGGGTTACAGCCATCCAAGGCTGTAGTAATGCCGCAGTGAATCAGACCCTTAGTGTTTTGTTTAAATATAAACATATTGAATCAGTGCTTTTTGTGTAGAAGGCTATTCTCGCGAGCCAAGTGTTTTGACAGCTCCAGCAAGGTGGTATGAGTCACTGCCTCTGCCTCACTCAAGCTCGGAGACAGATACATCTTAATCACATTACATTTTTTCCAGCGCTACACCACAAGTCAAGGCACGGGGCCAAATCTCCCCACGGGGACCAACCAGCACAGCGCTGAGTCCCGAGCCTGAGCTTTGTCCTTCCAGCCGGGATGAGCGCCGGGAAGGGGGGTTCAGCATCCCGGCAGGGCTGAGCCGCAATCCCCGCTGCCATCCGCGGCCCCAGGGCGGTGCTGCCCGGCGCTGCCTGCTCGGAATGCGCAGCACATCGGGGCACGGCGGCTGCGGCTGCCATTAGCGCTAATGGAACTTTGGGATATAAATCCCACGCGCGGCGGGCAGGGAATAGACGCCTCTGTCTCGGGCTCGGAGCTCTCGGGCTGAGCTTCGCAAGGGCTTTAATTGGACTTTCAACGGAGCAAAATGTGGCCGCTCCTGTTTATTTCTCCAGGAATAATTACGGTGCTCTGTGGCGTGGTACTTGCAGAGTTATCAGGCATGTTTGGACAGAGGGCTGTCTTATCTAAATTGGATTGGAAATAGATTTACATCGCGGCAACTTCCCATTTGAACTGCAAATTGCTGGAAAGTCACTTCAGATGCTCCTGAATCGCCCCAGTGACAGCAGCCCCGCTCCGGCATGAATTATTGCCGGGCGATTTCCGCGGGGCTGCAGCCCAGCCGAGACACGAGCTAAGACAGGGTTTAAGAAATTATTAAAAATCCAGGGGAAAAGAAACAACCTGAGCTTGTGCTTTTGCATCTCAGACAACAGAGAGGGATCCGCAAGCCCCTGCTCTGCGCAGCAGCCCCGTCCCAGAGCGTGAGCCCTCGGGAGCATCCCCACAGCTGCCTGCTCCTGCACCTCGGCTGCCTTTCCTCGGGAGGACCATTCCCCCCTCCCTGGCCGGTGCTGCAGTGAAAGGGCTCGTCCGAGCCGCCAGTGTTTGGTTGTTGATGCAGACATCAACAACACGGAGCCGAGCCAGCCCCGCCGAGCTGCGCACGGTGACTCGAGTGTGCCGCTGCCCTGCAGGGTTCCCATCGCATCCTAAAGGAGAGGGATCGGTATGCGAGCTACAGCTCCCTGAGCATCCCTTGAGTGCTCAAACACAAAACCTGAGGCTTCTGAGCGCGCAGAAACCGGCCTTTATTTATTTATAATAATAGTCATATATTTATAATAATAGTCGGGAGACGTGACTTTGACATGGCAGGACGTGGCATCGTGTCCTTGCCGCTGCTGTCAAGCTGCGGAGATCAACTCCCCCGTCTCCAACCTTCAGAACGCTCGCAATTAGGGGGTGCTCAGCTGAAACGTGCCCCTGCTTTCACATGCTCTGCTCCTGCTCCTCTCCTCTCCCAGGGCTGCACAGGCAGCTGATCCCACTGTAGGATTCCCAGCTGATCCCACTGTAGGATTCTCACCTGATCCCACTGTAGGATTCCCAGCTGGTCCCACTGTAGGATTCCCAGCTGATCCCACTGTAGGATTCCCAGCTGGTCCCACTGTAGGATTCCCAGCTGATCCCACTGTAGGATTCCCAGCTGATAACGCAGAGCTACCAGACCACGGGCAGATGAACATGTGGATCGAAAACACATGCCAGCCACAGGATTTCACGCGGCTGCCGATCGATGGCAGCTCTTCCAGCATATCGAGCCTTATCAGCCAGAGCAAGCCCCCTTTCATTGACTCACGGGGAGGTGGGGACCCCCAGCCGCACTCTCGTCTGCTGGCTTTGCACTTTAAAACCGCCTTTTAGTTTGCTGATTGCTCTGCAGATCTCCCTAATTGCAGATTCCCCCTGGGCACTCGTGTGTGCAAGGCACGAGCATCTGAACAGCTCTCGGGAGGGCACGAAGGCATGAGGCTTAATGGCTGAGTGACTATTCCCGTCTCCCTCCCTATAGCCCCGCTGCTTTCCTCAATAGAATAAAATTATAATTCCAGGTTCACTCCCTTTCGGCGCTAATTCCCGTGAATTCCCTCACTCAGCCCAAGCAGCTGAAGTTTGCAAACTTGTTCGTTACCTGAGGATGCGGAGTCAGTCTGCAAAGGGTCTTTCTGGGGTAATCTCAGCAGTTCTGGTAAGATTTCCCCCTCGCACGGGCTCAGCGAGCATTTCTGGCAGCACAGCACTGCTGAACGGTCACCTGCCGTGGTGGATCAAGGAGAAACACACATGGCTCAGGTGGCAAAATCAGGACAAACACGGCGAGCAGCTGGACCACAGGAGGAGAAAGTGCAATTTCAGCATCCCCACAGGGCTTACTAACAGGGATAAATAAGAGTTCTGATGTTGCACCCAATTCTCTAACTTTGACCTTGCTTCCTGGAGTCCCTTTCACACATCAGCAAAGTAGATAAAACATTAAGAAAAAACGCTTCAGTCTCTCGGTGGTGTAGCTATAATCCGCTCAGAGCAAATGCTGCAAAAATATAGCTTGCTCCTCTAAATATCTGGATGTTTCTGGAGCTAGAACATTAATTCTATCCCAACCACCTCTTAAAATGGCACATTATTTTCTCCATTAATTCTTGTCAACCTCAAGAGGAAAGCTAAAGGGCTGCTATTAAAACCATGCCATTATTTTAAGTAGCAGCATTAATTTTCTATCATACACACTCACGCTGCCTGCAGAGCAGTACAGGTCTGGGGAAAGTCAGATTCCCATTCCTCTTTAACAAGGTGCACATTTCCGAGTTTGCCTGACATACAGCATGTTTTCCAGGCTGATGCCTTGCCTTCCGGGTGAAATATTTGGCACTTGGCTGTAGTAAGAATATCTCCCACTCTCAGGGGAAAAAACGATCAGAGATACATGTGTACACCTAAACTCTGCACTTTTACACGTGTGTGCCAGAGACACTCAGGCTTTTTTGAGTACATGAACGAAATTAGACATGTCTAAATCCTGCAAGAGAGAAAGGAAAAGAGAGCTTGTATGTGTGTGTACTCATGTCTCGCAGCTATAAGAAAACTATATTTAGACAGTTGTGTCATCCCAGAGGATGACAGCATTAACAGGCGATGGAAAGAGGAGCTATGGTTACTTTTCAGAGTTCAGCTCTGACCGATAAAAGAGGTCTCTGATGGAAATGACCTCTGGTAGAGTCCGGCAGGGCAGCAGCACCTCTGCCCGTGGCACTGCGGGACGCGCGGAGCCTCCCTCTCAGCTCTTCCCTCTGCCACGCTGCAGCAAAGCCACGAGAGCTCCCAAACAAACGCAAAACTTCACGCCAACAGCCTCCCGCTAAACCCTTAGGGGAGCAGATCTCACCAGCAAAGCCCCACACCGCCTCTGTGACACGGACAAGCCCGCAGCTCGCTGTCCCCGGCTCAGCGGCACTCACCCAGCGAGCCCCGGCTCCAGCGGGAGGGCTGCTCCGTCCTTCCCTCGCTGCTCCTGGACGAGGTGCTGGCGGTGCTGCTGGCGGTGCTGGAGGTGCTGGTGGCGGCGGTGGCAGCTCCTGCGGGTCCCTGCAGCCACTGAGGAGCGCATCACCTCCCGGCCGCAGCCCGCGGAGGTGGGTGCCCAGATGTTCCCCGCGCGGATTGGTCCAGCGGGAGCAGATGTTGCCCGGTTGCTAGGAGCGTTGCTAGGAGCGTTGCTAGGAGACGGTGACGCTCTCTCCATCACTGGCGCGACTCGAGGCCGCGGGGAGGGAGGGAGAGAGAGGGAGGGAGGAGGAAGAGGGGAGGAGGGAGGAGCAGGTCTTGCCAGCGGGATGCTCCGCGCCGGGCTGTGCCGTGCCGGGCTGCGGGGTGAGCCGGAGGATGGAGCAGGTGCCGCGGCTCCGAGCTGGACAGGCGGTGAGGAGCTGCCTGGGGCTCGCGGCAGAGGATGGGGACGTGAAACGCCAGAACCGGGAGGGGCGAGCAGCCCGGGGAGGTGGCGGGCGAGGGGGACCGACCATGAAACCTCCCGTCAGGGCGGGCTGAGGAATGCGCGGAGCGGGCCGGCAGCCGCGGAGGTGCCCAGGGAGAGAGAGCTCTGCTCGCTTCAGGGCAATACTGGGAGAAACACAACCCAGTGCCCGGGAGGGCTGGAGGGAGAGGAGCCAATTCGGTCCTGCTGGCAGAGAGCCGAGCTCGTCTGCTCTCTCACTGCGTGATGTTCCACTTCCCTCCTGATTTACAATTCTCCCTTTTCCTTCCATGCCCACCTCCTGTATCCCACTTTTTCCCCTGAGTTTTCAGGATGTCCCACCACAGTGCCCTGGGTCCCACCCTGGCACTTACAGCCATGATCCCATGGCTAGAAATTCGATTGCTGTAGGAAAAAAAAGCTGCACAGCAAAACAACCCAGACCTCCTCGCAAATAAAAGAGCAGGTCACTGTGGGGTAGTGCTGTCTCAACCAGGCAGCAGGATTTCACTCCTGAGCACCCTCCTTAGGGCAATGGGTGGGACACCAGGCTCAGCCTACCCTCACAACCAATGTCCATCCAGAAAAGCCCAGAAAAAATTAAAAGGAATCAATAAAACATTTATTGCCTGTATAATACAGTGTGCAGAAAGAGGGGAAATCCCTTTCCCTGGAAGTCAAACTCTGTGTGTAAATACTGGCAGATAGAAAGGAAAAAAAAAAGGATTTTTTAGAAAATCACACCAGCTATGTGTAGAGAGCTTCCCTGGAAAAAGTGGGTCACTCCCAGAGTGAAAAGGAATTGCACAAGATGATCTTTTCTGGACAGCCAGATCAGTGCCAATGGCTGCACTGGAGTTAATGACACAACACTAGCTTAGATCAGCCCCAGCACCAAGCCTGGACTTTCATCAGGACTTTTCTCCAAGAAGAAACATCTCTAGACCATAAATTTTCCTCTGCACCTGCCAGCTGTATCCATTTCCTCACACCTACCACGGATGACACTGCTGCTCCTCACAGATTCACCCTCATGCCACAGCCTCCCTATCCAAGCACTCAGTCCAGCCCACAGAATCTCAGAATGGCTTGGGAAGGGACCCTAAAGATCATCCTGTGCCACCCCCTGCCATGGGCAGGGACACTTCAAAGCCCCATCCAGCTTTACCCTGAGCACTTCCAAAACAACTACTGCCATCTCCCATCCTGCTGCTGAAGGTGACTCAAAGGCTCAGACAGTGCCAAAAACAAGGCAAGGTGCAATGGGAACATTTTCATTTTGACAGTATTTGAAGCTCCTGGGCAATTCCCTGCTCTCCTGTGATCTATAAGATGTGCAATGTATATTCTATCTGGTCATGTCACTGCTGGAAGGACACAGGGAGTTCCCCTCCCTCTGGTTGCTCCATGAAGGTTCTGCAGAGGATTTTGCACCAGGCTTTGTCTTAGACAGTGGGAATAGAGGCACACTGCATTTGGAATTCACCTGGATCAGTATCTCACCCAAATTTTAACAAACTGGGTCTTGGCGAGCCTGAGACTCAGCTAGCACAATGCAGCAGCCTCAGATCAGTTATTCCCTTGACTTGGATCACCTGGCTGACATTTGGCACCCAGTGTACACAAACACGTGCACACATGGCTCCCCTGCTCTTTGCAGCTTGAGGAAAGATCACTCAGGGCCAGATATTTACTTCAATTATCTCTGAAGCTCCTCTTCTTTTATTGAGAAGTCAAGTGAAACTCCAAGTAATTTCAAATTTGAATTTTCTGGGACAATAGGAAGGCACTGGAACTTAATTGATTTTGATTACCTGCCTTATTATTATGCTGCCAGTAGCGGTAGTTCGGGTTGGTGTAATTTTAAATTTGCTGTGAGATGAATCTGACATTTCTCTACTGCTGAACTGAAGACTTGAGCGATTCTTCAGCTCTTCACAAAGATGTTGTAATTAATTCAGTAATATCACTTCTGTAAGCAGAGATAGAAAAGGAAGACACAGAAGCACCTACTCCATGCCTGGGAGCTGAATGAACGACAGCATCACTCACTCCAATCTTAGTGAAATTTACTGATTTTTTTTTTTTAACATACAACACAATTTCTACTGCAAAGACACATCTTCCCCTCTTCTGTCAGCACACAAGCAGGACTTACTAGCAGGCAATAATTTACAGCCAAAAGGTCAGCTGTGTTTCCTCAGCTGGATCCAAGAAGTGTTTCCATCCTCTGATCAGCCCTGAGGAAATCCTTCCACAATCCAAGTGTAGCTGCTTTTCTTTGCCTCCTTTCCAAGGGGCAGAGAATGCAGGGAAGCAGATCCCCTGCCAGTGTAAACCAGCACTGTTCTACTGCCTCAAAGGGACCTCCATCAGGAAGAAGAGAAGATGCTCCATCTCACCCCATCCCATCTCCTTCCTCCTGCCATGGAAGCACGAGAAATCACCTCCCCCCCTGGTCTGGAGAGGACTTTTCCCCTGTGCCAGGTCAGGAATCGCTGCCCAGCTGACTTGCACTGTGTTTTAGTGCAGCAGAAATTAAACAGACCCATGAACTGGGACCAAAGTGTCTATTGACAGGGATATTATTTGAGAAGACTTTAAATGTGTGCTGCACAAGATAAAACCTGGCAGACAATAGAAGAGCAGCTTTTTTCTTTTATTTTAGTCTTTCGAAAGCAGGATTGCCTGACATACTCAGTGTTATAACAAATACATGTTTTTAAATGGTTTAGAGCGATTGGAAATATAAAACCCCAGAACATTAGCATTTACTTTAACTGTCTCACAGAATTAGGGAAAAAAAATTATTTCAGAGCAGTTATGTCTCCTCAAGTCAAGTGTTAAACAAAAATGGATTAAATTAATGTGCCCTTTTGAATTCAAGCACCAAACATTTAAAAGATTTGTGTATAAAGCACCAGCCCTCCCAGGCCACATACACCTACACAGGTGCTGCATTTCTGAACACAGCATGCAGAAGGTATTTTCCAAAGGTAAAATGCACCCAAAATGTTCTGCATTTGTACCTGAGAAGTTTCAGATGTGAGGAGTTGCATCCTGGGCTAGGCTTTATCCTTGGCCTGGCCCACTCAGCTGCCTCCAGCAGACACAGACCCTCAAAAGCTTTCCCAGACAATGGCTTGTCACAGCAAATGAAGATGAGTAGCTCCAGTTTCTGGACCCTGTTTGTGCCTCCCAGTGGTTGGCCAGCCTCAGAGGGACCAGATTCCTTGGGAGGCTAATCCTGCCTCCATCTAAAATGCAGACCAGCTCTTTCTCTTTCTGTTCTTGAGCACTATTTTCCTCCTCTATCTTCCAATTCATTGTACAAGAAAATCTATTGTTATTTTAATTTTTTTTTAAATTTATTTTACCTTTTTACATTTGAGACAAACTTTTAAAATCCTCCTGAAACAAGCTAGGGAAGAGTTGAAAAAATGAAGTTCATTTTCTTAGGTATCTCTGCTCTGTACCCCCTACACTCTCCCCACATCCCCATCCAAATTCCACCATGTCCCCTTGGACACCCCCAGCTCAACCAGAGGCAGCACATGCTGGAGCTGTCACAATGGACCAGCTCACCGACCCTTGGCCATCAAACCCACTCCTTTCTGCTTCTCTGGAAATGATCCTCTGCCAGCTGACAAAATTTGTAGAAGCATAACTGTCTTTGAGACAGTTACCCTGCTCTCAAATGTGATTGAAATTGGCCAACCTGCTAAAAAGTGATGGTGGTGGAAGAGAGACTGGCGAGGAGACAGATGGCAGACAGCTCAGCTTTAGCCTCCACTGAGCTGATTGAGAAGTGGGAATGCTTTCACCCTCTCGTGAAAAATGATATCACTCTTTTTGCTGAAATTCAAAACTTAGTTTCCTGACATTAAAAATGTGACTTTTCCAAGTGGTCAAAATTAGGATGAATGGAAAAAAAAAAAAAAAAAAAAAAAAAAAAAAAAGATGTCTTGACAAAACAGCACTTGGTACTTTGCCAAGGGATGAAGTCATTCTAAAGAATTAAAATGCAGCTGGAGGAAGGACAGGATAATCAGAACGATAAAACACAACACAGCCGGGAGCTCACACGTGCTCGTGCTGAGCAGTGGTGTCCCAGCAGGAGCAGCAAGTGGAGTGCTGAGCCCTTGCAAATATTTGTGTGGTGGTGTTGTACACCAAGCTCACAGAAAACCTGAGCTTTCACTACCAAATTTACAGGCAGCCCCATTTAGGCCAGGCTGACCAAGTGCTGGCACCAAGACCCGTGGCCCAGTCGCCCCTCACTGAGTTCAGTGCCAGCAGCTTCATCGTGGTGTGTGCTGAGCTCACATGGGGCCACAGGCAAGTCTGCCTGCAGGAATGAAACAAACCCCGTGCTGGTCAGCCCTGAACTGGGGATCAGCCTGGGAAAACCCACCTGGGGCTGAGGACACTCCCACAAGGACAGGGTGAGGCTGGAGGAACAGCAAGGCAAGAATGGTGCTCCCAGTGCCCCAGTCCTCCAGAGCCATCAGCGGCATCCCTCGGCACTGGGGTTACTGGGAAGGAGATTTGGTGGGGAATTGAGGCTGTTGATTGGGCAGAGAGAATTTTAAGTGATTTTCAGGAAATGCACAGGGTGAAGCAGTGTTAGGATAACCAAGCCAGGAAAACGCTGTCCTGGTACCCAGCTCAAACCCTGGCAGCAGCACCCACCTGAGCTCCCAAACCCCTGGGGGATGTGTGCCTGGCTCTGCAGATCCCTCTCTGTGCCTGGAGGAGCTGCTGGGAGGCTGCTGCAACCCAGAGCAGCCCCCAGCCCACCCTGCCAGCCCTCTCAGCTGAGCCTGGTCACCCACAAACATCAGCCCTCAGCAAAACAGGTATTTCATCTCCAGTTTACACCAGGAGGGTGAGCTTTTCCAAACCCCCTAGTTTCTCTCTGAGCCTCCCAGAATATACCATTTCTCCACTGTCTTTAAGATGAAGGGCCCTGGGCTGGGTTTTCTGTGTCCTCAGACATGTCTTATATTAAGTGCCTTTGCTGAGGTTTCCAAGCACTGAAGCTACCAACTGTTGCCAGGAAAGGAAACTCTATTTCAGGGCTGGTCCTGGAAAGCCAACCCTGTGGGTGCCAGCAGGGCTGCAGAAATCGTGGATTCTCATGTCTCCCTCGAATATGGCACTGCTATTCTGAGAGGAACAAACTAACCCCAGTTCAAAGTCACCAATCTGGGAATTTTTTTTAGCTTCTATCATTCTCCATTTTAATGTGGGCAGGTATTACAACTGCAACCTACCAGAAGTAAACCACTCACAAATACGACATGACCAAAGGTAGGTGCAAACAAAAGTAGCCACCAGATACAGACACACCCTTTGTTGGCACAATTTCACCTCTCCAGCTCATTGTTTGAGCTCTTACCTTTGTCTCCACCAAGTGGCCACCCCAGCTTTGATGGGGGCATCCCTCTGTGCCCCATACCCACAGCCAGGGTGTCAGCAAGGCTGGTGCCTCCTCACAGCAGGGACACAGGTGACACTGGCTCTGTGTGCCCTGGTGCAGGTGCCAACACACCTTTGGTGTAGGAGAAATGCTGAGTGCAGGGTGCCACCACAGTGAGGGCTGAGGGGCTTCTTCCCCAGCTCCTGCCAGGGCTGGATGAGAGAGCAGGGAAGAGCAGATGTCAAAGGCATAGCCAGCACTTTTCCTTCCCCACAGAGTTGGCTGAATGGCTGTATGCAGGGGGAAGCAGAGACATGATGGTGATGCCTTAGGATTTAGCTTTTATATTTTTCAGATCCTGTACTGCTTTAGTGTATAACTCTAAACTCCACAGCCTGTCTGCTACTGTTCTCCCATTTTATCCACACAAAACAATTCCTCTCTAGGTCTGAAACTCAAGGACACCTTTTTGTCTCAGGCACTGAGAGATGCAAACAGCAGTGAATTGTGGGGGGGAAAACTTGGAGTAAATGACTTCATTACCTGAAATAGTAATTGAAGGATTAACCCCTGCTATGTAAATGGACCAAACTTGTAACTGCATGAAAACCCTGTGACTGTCATGTCCATCTTGGGTGTAGCCTCTGGAAAGCTTCTGACTGCCCAAGGTGTACCCAGTGAATGCCTTCATTAATACCCACTTTCATTCCCCTAATTTTGTCTATCCTCTGTTTCAGGTGGCCACTCCAGGGTATCAGTGGGACATGAGAATCCTTCCAGCCCCCAAAACACCCCAGCCTGCTGCCACAGGGCCCCTGTGTCCATGTGGCACCAAGAGCAGGGCAGACACTTCCCATTCCTCCCAGTCCTGCATTATGCACCAGGCACCTGCATCCCTGTTCTGAACAAAACACGTTCCCCTCTCCTGGATGCATATTCACTCCATTCTGTGCTATTCACAGCAAGAACAAAAAGGAAGATACGTTGGGTTTGCATGTCTACATGAGCCATCTGCTTCTATTTTATTGATGAAACCTGTAACAGCAGCATTCTCCATGACAAAATAAGACTGTGTCTAAGGTGTGGACAGCTGTGTGTGTGCAGGGGTAGTTTCAGCCCAGAATTCTGCAGAAGCTGGGTTTAATGTTGATTTTTTTTTTTTTCCAGTCAGATATCATCTAGACATTAGTATTCCTAACACAGCATATAATTAGCAAGAGGCAATATATTGTATGATCATGCACATTAGCACTTAAGTAGAATAAAAAATGTTTCATTGTCAACTACATGAAAAGCTAAGAATAAACCCAGAGCAGTTTTCCAGTTAAATATCCAAACATCTTTTCCTTGTATTTTTCATCTTTTATATCACAGTTTTGCACTCCATATATCTCCTTCAATCACATCCCCAGCAAGTGAAACAATGCTCACACCATCCCAGTGGCCTCTCACCAGTCAATACCAACCATTCAGTAACTAGATTCAAGGTACAATTATTCAAGGTACAATTTACAGTGCAAATCTTTGAGCTTTACAAAAGTGAAAAGACCATATGAATTTGTTTCTTATAACTTTCAAAGTAGGAAAAGTTTTCCCTTTACAGATTTATTTACCATAGAAATAATTCAATAACAAATACAAGCTCTGGAAGCCTTGCTTCTGCACCAACAAAACTTAGGGATGTGGCATTTTCATTAATTCGTCCAAACAATTAATAAATAAATTTTGTGCTTGACCATAGAAGTTGTGGATGTTCATCTCTGGAAGTGTTCAAGGCCAGGCTGGACTGGTCTAGTGGGAGGTTGCACATGGCAGGGGGTTGGGATGGGATAGTCTTTAAGGTCCCTTCCAACCCAAACCATTCTGTGGTTCTGTGATCTCAGGCTGGGAAAGGGGAGCTGAGATCTCCATCGCTCCTGGTGCTCCCTCAGCCACGGGGCTGAATCACTCCCAGCACCAAGCAGCTCTCTGTGCTGAGGGGATGACAGCAGAGAAAGGAGAAATATTAAATATTCTGCCAAGCACCAGGAGGGAGGTGCAGTAGGAGGCTCACAACACTCTCCTGTGGCAGGAGAGATGTCTGCCCACCCACAAAGCTCCTGAGGGGAACAACTCCCACCCCATGGAGCACAAGGAGGAAACAGGACAAGGACACACCTCAGTGTCCAGCTGTGCCTGCAACAGAGAGACAACAAAGCCCTGCCAGAGATGGTATATTGTTCCAATATAGAAAGAAGTCAATACACACTAAAAATAACTTATTACATACCATATATTTAAATCAACAGTCAAATATACATTGAGATGTGCTTCATGCAAATGCCCCGCGGCACTCTGCCATAAAAAACATTTTTATATATACACACACATATAAATGTCACACAGTATTTAAATGCTAAGTCTACCAAATGATTACTTCATTTACTCTTCTTGACAAACAAAACTCTCTGCTGGGAAAAAAGTCAATGAAGTTACAGCTGAGAATACAGCCCAGCAAGACACAAACCACAGCAATGCCAGCAGAGGAATACGGGAGAGATGTGGTACCAGTGAAATTGGAAAAGTTGTGCTTGAGGTGCCACGTAGTGACAAGGGATCAGAGGACAGGTTTTATCCTGAGCACCATGAACATCAAATATTGCTACCAGGCACTGACCTGCCTCTGTAGATATTAATGGCAGGATGAGTGATGCAGTGATGGAGACAGCATGAAGGAAAAACACCTGGAAAGTGTTAACAAGACACAACAGGGATGAGGAAAGCTTGCAAAATTATATGATTTTTTTCCTAGTTGCTAATGAAGAGAGAAATTTGCAATGTTGCCCTAAGAGAAATGAAGGGGAAGGGAAGTATTTGGCAGGATTAAGTGCCTTCCCTGGAGGTCACAGCTAATTAATGGTTGTGGGGCTCAGGAAGAATTCTGCTTTTGTGAGAACCCTGAATCCTTGTTCCTCACCTATGGCCAATACCAGCTTTTTGTCTCTTGTTTCTCAGTAATATCAGCCCACACTGGGAATGACATTACAGGGGACAAACATCTCCAGAGCATCTGGTGTCTGTTTGATGTGCCCCACTACAGCCAGAGGAAATACAAAAATGAGGAGCAAACATCCTTAGCTCCTCACACCTGCAGCTGCCAAAGCAGCTGTGATTTCTGTTAAAGCAAAAAAAAAAATTAAAAAAAAAAAAAATGTTGCTTTCCAATTTCCTTGAGAGATGAGCAAGTAACAGATCTGAGTGGAGTTTCATAGCTCCTGTCTGGCTTTTGTGTTTCTTCCTCGACTGCTTTCAACGCCAGCTGCCTCAAATTCACTGGGGGCAACCCAGTGACCGTACAGTTTTTGGTGTGTGAGACCACAGACTGCCTACCTGCATCACTACCTGCAGTCTTCCTTCTGCTCCATCAGTGATACCTCAGAGGATTCAGGGGTTTATGATCCGGTCATGGGCAATACCCAAATCCCATGCAGGTTCCCAAATTAAGACCAAAAAAAATGTCCTATCACGGGAATTTTGTCTTCCTTGTGCAAGAATTTGGTTTTCCCTGCTCTGGGTGTAAAGACCTGTTTAGTGACAGAGTTTTGCTGAGATTGTTCAGCTTTGCAGAGAGATCTTAAAATTCATCCACCCAGGACAAACTCAGGAGCAGAGGAGAGGGAAAAAAAATCTCACCTTCAGCCTTCTGTTTTGGGGAAGGAGCACAGGGAGAGCCCAGCCCAGAGCTCTCCTCTTACCCCTTCATTTGTATAGAGAGTTTGTGTGGAGTGGAGAGGGATTGTAATGACAAAAGAGATGAATGGCACCTACCAAGTTTTTTTTATTCAGGCTACAATATTGACCTATATCTTCTTTATAAAGGTGAAAAAACATGGATAGCTGTGTGGGTAGAGCAGGAGCATCTTCCTGCTGCCAGCTGGCAAACAGCTTGGGGATTACAGCATGAGGATTAATAGCCTTTGTCATTTGTAAGTGCAGATGCTAACCTTACTCATATGACAGACTGATCTTCTTTGGATTCTGTGCCTGTTTGCTGTTCCAGAAAGATGACCTTGGGCTGCTGTGAGAGACAAAATATTTACACATTCATTTCTTAGGGCCCACAGCGTAGGCTGCAGGAAGACACAAGCTCACTCTGCACTGAATAAAAAAGCTGTATGCCTTCAGCAGATCTGGAGCTCGGGAGTCATGCAGAGAAACTCTGGCTTTCAGCTCAGGCTTGATGCCTCTGCAGCCCGGCTGTGCTGATTCCTGGAGTAGGGAGTGAGCAAATTCCCAGCTCTACAGCAGCACCAGCACACCAAGAGCCTTCCCCTCCTGCCTCTCTCCCCCGCCACCACCTTCCCACCACTGCTTGGGGTTTTCATTTCTTGCATGACAGCTTGTTAAATCCTCACCAGATCCCAAATAAACACCTTCCAAGCTTTAGGATCTGTCAGCTTCTGGCTGCTTGTATCACAGAAGCAGATGAGCTCAGAGCCAGCACTGCTTCTTGGGATATGAGAATGTATTTGTTGGGGTATCACATGCTGGAGGGAAAAACCTGCCTCATTCAAAGTGTGAGCTCCTCTACAAACCCTGGCTGCTTTGTTTCTTCCCCTCAAACCATAGCTGCAAACATCACACTTAGCACATTTAAATGGAAAGAGGATGTTCCTGCATACTAATTCCTGCAGGCTCTGTTGTCCTTTTGCAGAACACAATACCCGTGAGAAAAGGAAGAAAGCAAATACAGAACAGGCTGTTCCTTCTGCCATTAATTTGGTCCACATTGAGGTGAATGGGTGTCACTACTCTGTAAATATTGAGATGTCACAGCCCAACCAACCAACTTCAAACTCTACAAGTGTACAAGAGAGCAGGGAGGCGAGGGCTTGGTCAGGAGCATCACAACTTTGAGCTGACCCCTCTGGGAGGGGATAATATGATGGAGAAGGCCATATTCTCTGCTCAGCCTTTCAGTCAACTTTTCGTGCTGAAGGGCAGAAGGCAGCTGAGAGGCAGAGATGAAGTGCTGTGATCACACAGATTAAAAATGATGATAAATATGGGAGCGGAAAGCAAGCTCTGCAGGCACGCCAGCTCCAAGGTCACTGCCAGCTCCAGCTGAAGGGGAAAATGAACTGCCACCAGAGGAAATGCCTGCTCCTCTGCCAAGCTGCCACCTTCAGCTTTATGCTGGGAAAATGATCAATAGCAGCTGGAAGCCTTTGGATCTGTGCATCCAGGAACTTCTAACGACATCCACGACTGAAGATCAGTGGGCTGTGTAAAGCACCAAATAACTCCTCGGGATCTGCAGCTGCTAAAAATACACCCAAGCATTGTCCATGTACCCCGGGAGCTGCACAACCCACACTGCCCCTGAAGGGAAAGGCAGACAAGGCAGAGCAACAGGAACGGGCAGGCCACAGCAGGGTCCAGCTAATTAAAGACACCGGTAAAAAGGAAACCCAGACAAATCAAAGGAAGCAGAAGATCATCCAGATAAAGCCTTTGCAAATGGGCACATCAGTGAGCAATTGCTGCAGCTCAGTGGGCTAAAAGAGGGACTCATTTCTGTGGGCATCAGTTGAAGATCACCGTTTATTATGGGGAATATAAACACGGTGAGATCACTCTGTTCTGTTGTCGATAAACATTAAAAAAGGAAAAATAAAATAGCAGCAGAGAGCTTGGCAGGACAGGGGCATGCTGGCTGAGGAGAACAATGGAAAAACAGACTGCAACCAACTGAACGATGCTGTTCAAGATACAGAGATGTATCTAGGGCACTTGCCCATAATACTCTGGCCCAATGCAGTTAATATCTTTCCACATTTCCAGGCTTTTAAAAAACAATTAAAAGAAAATTCAAATAAACTATAAAGGGATTACAAACGGTGTCAAAAGGGAATGAATTACCTCAGAAGACATGAGTGCATTAGGAAACATCCATAATCTAGCCCTGCAAGTGCCCAAGCACCCTGGATCCAGGTTATCCATTCCTATCCTGCTCCTTGAAACCCCCATGGCCCTCTCACAGCTCTCTCCCCACCTGGACCCCCACTGAAGCAGAAGTCATCAGCATCCACATGGAGAAGGCCAGTGGAGCACAAGGTCTGCCAGCCCTCTGCCAGTCAGGTGAGGACAGGATTCCCAAGGAATGGAAAACTTCCTGGAAAGTCATTCTGGTCAGCCACTTCCAAAGGAAACAAGAGGTTGAAGCAGTGACTAAAAGGGCAGTGGTGTTTACATAAGAAGGACCAGGAGCACAAGCCCAGCCTGTATAAATATTAGTATTGACTAATTCACTCTGTCAATGGGAAGAGGTAGAGGAGCTTTGGAATATGCCAGAGCTGCTGCAAAGCCTCCATTTCACAGACAGTCAATAATGGAAGGAAAAATAAACCACAAAAGCAATAAAAATCCCAAAATACACCTAGCAAGCACAAGTACCCCCAGCACCTCATTCATCCCAAGATTCCTAGACTTCTCCATTGCTTTGGTAGGAACATAAAGAACCCCACAAAAACACTTCTCAAGGCATGGATGTGCCAAGAGTTTTGGCACAATGGTCCCCCTGCCACAGCCCTTGCTCCCTCCCTCCAAAAATTTCTGATAAAATAAAAGGGTAAAATGTGGCAGCAAGAATGCAGCAACCTGCTTCCCTTGGACAGCAAAGTTTTAACACTTGCTTAGATATTAATTTACTCTAAATAAGCCATTTTCACTTGCTTTTCTCTGACTCCAAAAACTCTACAATGAAATTATATACTAAAATTCAATTCCCTTAATGCCATATCTTCAGAAAAGATCTTAATGTGAAAACAGCATGGAAGTCCAAACCCAGTGTACTTCATTGCTTTTTAAAATGAACTTTTTCATTAGGTTCTTTTTTTTTTAATCATGCTGTTATGAAACTGGGTTATCTCCAGTTCACTGCTGACATGTATTATGAACTTACACTTTTTCCTTAGCTAATCATGAAGCACAGGCAAGACTTTGCAGGTTCAAGAAGTTCTGAAGAGAATCTCAGTAAATTCATTACACACACATACATTCCAGGTAATAAAATTAATTATAAAGACTTGCATATACGTTTTATGCAGTTCAGGACAAAAAAGATGGAGACATTGGAAAACAACTGGAATCAGCAAATGCACCTTTTGAATTGGGCTGTTTCCTCTATTTTTTTTATTTTTATTTTTCCCCAGGAAGAAAGTGTATGATAAATGAAATTCTATTCTGCTGGTTACCACTCAGATGTTCACTTTTTCTTGCATTGTTTTAGCAGTGCAGTCAAGAACATATTTGTGGGATGAGCTGCATTTGGGTTACACCCTTCTTTGTGTTATAAAACACAAAAGTGTTTAAGTGCAAAGCAGACATGCCAGCTTATCTAGACAGTGGAGGAGAACCCTCCTGCATAGGATAACCACCAGTCTCCCTGGAAAAGTGATGCTCAGACAGGTGATAAGAAGATACAAGAGCGTGGTCTGCAGAATAACTTGTATCACCTGTTCCAGCAGTGCTTCTCAGTGCAGATTATTCTGTCTGCCTCCTGAGGACAGACAGAGCCTCTGTGTGACACCAGTGATAACCTGTGAGTGCCACAGCACTGCCCTCAGGGCCTGTCTAGCCTGGATGTGACAAAAACCAGCACCAAGGACCAATTCTGGTCGAACAGCCAGTGCCAAAATTTGCATTAGTTTGATATCCACAGCACCATTGAAGTGAAGGAAGTGGCTGTGGGTGAAGGAGGAGGCAGAATTTGGTGCCAGGTGTCAGTAAATAGCAAAACCAAACCATGAAGGGGTTCAGTACAAACAAAGCTCTTCAGCAAAATATTTCCTGTGCCTTGCTGTCATCAGCAGGAATGGAGAAAAGACAGTCCTCTCCTAGAGACTGTGGAGAATGGGAGATTGGACAGCTGATAGCATTTGGAGATCTCAGCACCTCACTGCCTGCATTCCACTGAGGATGAACATCCTCCTTTGTGTCACACACAGCACTGCAACAACCACTTAGCCAAGCAGCAGACTGAGACACATCCTCTATCCATCATCTCCATGACTTCAGCTTACAGAGACAGGAAAAGAGATTAAAATGGAAAAGGACAATGTAGTCTGAAAAGTAAGCATGTGACAGCATCATCACCTCATCCAGCAAGGCTGCTCCTTGCATTGCTTTCAGCTGGAGGCAGGAAGCACAATTCTTTTCTCCAGTTCAGCAGAGCCAGCAGCCCCTCTGTATCCCATTCCTGGCCTGCAAGAGAGCTCCTTCCCAAGGTTAGGTGACATGGTCTGTCATCCTCTACTGCTCAGCATGCCAAAACCAGTCCCCCTCCATATCCCAAGGAGATATCACAGGAGATTTGCGGAAGATCCCACAGAAAACTCTGAGTAGTGCTTTGCTGAATCACAGAAACACCACGGATCTGAAGCTCTCTCCTGTAATGCTCACAGAATTGCTTTTCTGAATGAACCTCACTTCTAAAAGTCATATTAACACATGGGCAAAACGATGCAGAAAGGAGTGATTCAGGCACAAAGGTGGCTGTGCAGTTTGTTCTGGTCTTTTTTTGGTATTTGTGATGACAGAAGCCATAACTTCAAGTAAACATCTAAACATGCATTGTATAATGCAATATAAAACTGATGCTTGTTATCTCTTGTGCAAACCTATGTCAATGCAGGCTAACAAGTGCACAGGGTGCCTAATTAAAAATACCAGTAGTATTTAGTCCTTATATCAATTTTTAGTACAGAAGAACAGTAGTAATGTCTAGGCACTTAAAAGTTGTCAGAGAATTCAAGAGTGCTTTCTCATGCTGTCTGAAAAATATATCATCCAGTTTACAGTGGTATCAAATGCTCATTTCTAGGACTTAGAAACACAATAATAAAAGGGAGAGGATGTGATCTGCATGCAGGTTAGCTTTTCTGTGAGCTATCTGCGTGGCAAGAATATTTGCAAACTTCATTAATATAAATAAGGGAAGAGAGGGAAGAGAGAGAGTTTACTCCAGAAGAAAACAGCATCACATCAGAATCAGTCTGTGGCGATTAAACCAATGGAAAAATGAGCAAGGCAGTGACCAAGGAAAGGATTTTGCAGGTATTCCCACTGCTTCTCACTAGGGTTAATTATCTGCATGTAGAAAATGCAGGGCAAGCCGGAAAGGCAAGAGCTAAACTCTCTTCCCAAGCCTTGGTAACCGTGGCTGCTGGCTCTGAGCGGGCAGGTTAAAGCTGCGTGCCCTGCCAGAGCTGTTTCCTGCTGGCAGACAGCGAGGGGAGCCAGCCCTTTGCCCCAGGCTGCCCTGGTCCCCGCTAGGACTCCAGCAGCGTGTGCCACCTGCAGACCTGTGTCCCCTGTGACTCCCTCATTTCCTGCCAGTGGCTCTGCTCCTCCTCCCCGCTGCTGCTCTGGCCCATGGAGATCCAGCCGATCATCTCCTTGCGCTTCATGCTGCGCCTGTTGTAGATGGAGATCAGCAGGGTGACATCTGAGAGCTGGAACAGGGCGACCTGGAAGATGAAGGTTTCCTTGTAGACGGGGTTGGGCTGGCCCCGGCGGATGGAGGTCTTGCAGCGGGACATCTCCTGACCCACGGAGTTGCGCAGGCAGAGCTTCCCGTAGGTATCTAAGACCAAAAAAAAAAGGAGATTACATGTTTGGTGCAGGTGACAGGCTAAATGAAAAGCCCAGAGAGTCAAAAAACACCCCCAAAACCACCCAAGTAAAGCAGTTTAGTCTGCAGTGAATAACATGAGGGCTGGATGGCGCTCCTTGCTAAAATCCATGGGATGAGAAGCAGAAGGTGAAAGCACCTCTTGGATTTTCTCATATTCAGCTGAGGAGAAAAGAAAACTGACTCATGTTTCAGCCCCACTCTCTTGGAAAGAGCAGGATATCAACTATCCAGTCCTAGCAAACCTGTCTAAGACTAACCAAAACTCCATGAGCATCTCCATGGATTCTCCATTTCAAATGGTGTCTGCACCTTCCTTTCCTCTCCCTCACAATCAAGCCTCATTGGGGCTGTCTTACTCAGGCTTCTCTTGCCCCTCCACCACTCTCTATGATCTATTGTTTGAGATACCAAAAAATTAAGGGTCTTGAAAAGGAGGGGGGAAAAAAACCTGCATAAACTCTGAAATTATTTGATCTCCCATAGTAGTTTAATATTTTTTCCAAATTCACATATTACTTTTTTGGTGGACTCAAGGTCAATTTTATATACAATTTAAGGAGTGTATAATACAAGGGGTAAACAGACTTAGCAAATACAAGGAAGGGATGGTCCAATTTAGTGCTCCTGTAAATCTACTCTTTAAATTCCTGCTGCCTCGTGTATTAATTAGTTCTCCTCTGTTATGTGGTAGCTAATACTGTGGTGTCAGAGCTCCCAGTGCTCCACAGACCCAGCTCAGTGTAAGTTTTCACCTTGCTCTGCACATGACAGTGACAGATTGCTTGGGTAGACAAGTCCCCTGCTAACCCCTTCCTAATCTGTGCCTGGGTTCCTGCAAGTGAGTATTATTTCAGAGTGTGCTGAAGATAGGAAATAAATAACAAGCCTCCATCTCTTGTCTGCAGCATTTCTATCCTCTTCTGTTCCCGTTTGATGTGCTATTTTACACTCTTATCTACTGAGCAACACAAGGTGTGAAATTGCACTTCAGGTGTGAAAACACTTCCATGTCTCCAAAGCAGGGCTTCCCGCTCCTCTCAAACTGTTCCACTGAAAAAGCTGTCAGGAGGCTGACAATCAAGGAGCAAATTGTGAGCCTGCACAGCTGTACAGCTATCAAGTTTCTGCAGGGAAAGTTCATCCCAGCCATTAGCTGGGGGTGCCTGCTTGGCTCCCAGCACAACGCTGGGGATGAGGAGGATCTTGCCAGCAAAAACCCACTTGTCACACAGAAAGGCGAAGATTTGATTCAATTTCCTGATTGCATCTGGGAAGGAAAAAAAAAAAAAAACACTTTATTGAAAGGTGGACTGATCTCCACCTAAATATTCAGTGCTGAGGAGCTGAAATCTGTAAGAACTTCAGGCCCATCAGGAACAAAAAGCCCAAGAGAGGACCCCGTGTTCCAGCTTGACTCAATGTGAAACCAGACACGACTCCTACAGTATTTGTAGGGATGTCACTGTGCTTGGCACTGACAAACCACAATGTGCACTGAAGTATTCCTCATGTGTAAGTCCTGGCTGCTGGTCTAGACTGCAGGGAACTCCCTGGAAATAGAGGTTTTATGGATTTTCTTAATTGCATTCTTTTTTTTTTTTGCTTTTGTTTTGTTCTTCTTCTGAGAAAGGGATTTCAAAATATTGGAAGAATTCCACTGGGCTGATTTTTAAATACAAACAAGCAGATAATTAGTACAATCCTCTGTTTGAACTTCAAAATTTTTCTTGCTTTTCACAACCAACCCAACATAACCTCCCTATGCTATTTTAGGGAGAAGTCCCCCATACATGCCTGCATCTCTTTTTCTAAGAAGACAGAGAAGACTGAGGTCTAGATTTTAACCTTAGTATACCTTGCTGTCATCCTTCCTTCTGACTTTCACCAGTACTGGCAGCTCAGGTGGGATTCATCACACCTAACTGCAGGCACATTCATCTGAACAGTGCCCAAAGGAGTCAACCAATTCATAATCAAAAAAGCAGATGCCATAACTCAGCAGTGATCAAGCAGACAGTGATACCATTACAGATGATTTAGGTGTTAACACTAAAGCGAGCACCACAGCTAAAACACCTCACAGGATTCTGTTTCAGCATGTCCCAGTTAATTTTGCAGGCAATGAATGGATGAGTGTCTTACAGTCGTAAACTCTGGGATGTCACATCCCTGACTGGGGCCTCAACTTTTGCAAATGAGGGATAACACACCTGGCTTTGAGGAAAAATGAGTAGCACACCAGCAATGAGTTAAAGTCAGAAAAGTTGGCCTTTTCTTTAATATATCTCAGATTTTTACATAATTCTATACCAAGGCCTTGTTTGTTCAGTACCAAGGTGGGTGGGGATTCTGTGTGTATCATCTGGATCAGGCTGGAAGGAGACTGTTCTCAAGCCAGAGATAATACCAGGAGCCCTAATCACCCCCGAGAAAACACCGGCACAAAACCAGTGCAAGTGACAACTAAATCGGGCTGCTAATTCTCCTCAAGTTTATTCCACTGGGTGTATTTTACCAGCCAAAAGAATCAAGCTTGCCTGAACAGAAATAAAAGAGTAGGTGTGGATCATATATTTAGCATCTGAAATTTGCTTTGCAGAGATGGTACATACGAGGCTGAGCTGTTATTCTGCCTCACTAACTAAATTTTAAGATTGTCGTTCTCCCTTCCTGCATTGTGCTCTTGGCAGCATTTTTTTAGGTATCTCATCAGAAAACACAGCTTTTCTTGATGGAGAGCTCTCCCCTCCTGATGACTTTGCCAAAGAAAATCCATCCCCAGTTACACAGTGAAATTAGTGGAGCTACAGCAAGGATGAGCCCGAAGATTTACTGAGGAATGTATGTGTAAGAGCATCTATTCATTATGAAGGCAAACATTTTCCATCTAATTACATGCTCAGGTTCAGTAATGGCCTCATTACCGTGGTGTCTCAGCACTCTGTGCTCTTCAGAGTGTTTACTTTTGTGCCACCTCCATCAAGCACAAAAGAAAAAGAGATTAGGGCTGACATTCTTGAAAATGCCTAAGTGCTCACCTTCTGTTTAGGCACCCATCTCACTGACATGAGGAACAGTGAGACCTCTTAATATCTGGGAGTGTCTGAGACTGCAGCTTGCCCACGGTTACACAAAAGTCTGTGAAGATTCAAGAACAAAGTCTAATTTTGCCAAGACCAATTTTAGCACCGCATCCACCAGGCTCTCCTTTCCATGCAGGTTTTGGAACAGAAGTTCTTGCTGCAGAGCATTTTCACTCTGAACTCATCTTGCCTCTCTGGTACGAGTGGACTCATACCAATGTTCACGTATGCATAAAATATCAACATCTCAGCATTTAATACCAGAGTGAAAAGCACTAAATCAAGGAATGCTGTAAGCAGCCAGACACATTTTGGGCTGGTGCTGCATCTTCTTACTCCAGAGGGTTGGGCAAAGCTCTCCTCACGCAGACTGCTCTGTCTCCATCAACCATCAAACACCTCTCCAGAGCTCATCTGCAAAGGCAATCAGTTTTTCCAGGATTCTTCTAATGACCCATTTCTGTCATGATTCTTCTGAGGGAACTAACTGATAATGACAACTCAGGGGAATAATAATCAACTATAATTTATGCACTCCTGTTTTTGGAGCAGGGACCACAGCCTGCGTTCTGCTTTCACTAAGCACCACCATTATTAGTAAAGCTGACCCATGAGCAAGAGCACTGCAAATACAAAAGCCAACCCCCTGCTTGAATTTATATTTAGAAAGGAAGTAAACAACCACAGACTCCTGACCCCTCACGTCTGTGGACTGCAGGGTACCGCACAGCGCCGTGCGGACTTTCCCACCCGCGCTCCAGGCAAGCTAGCTCATTTCCAAAAGCAGGATAACCATGTCAGCATGCTGCAATCCAGACTAATAACAGCCGCAGCAGAAGAAAGCCCTGGGCCTGGAGCTTAATTTCCCCCAGCTGGCAAGCCCACGCTCCCAGCCTACATAATGAACGGCAGCACCGCGTGGCGAAGCGGCCCCGGAGCCCGGCTCTGCGCTGCTCTGTACAGGCAGCTCAACGTGAGGTCTCAGTTTGAGGCCCAGAAGAGCATTAGTCCTGGCTTTGCCTCCCCTTTCAACCAGCAGTTGGGCAGAACACTGAACATTCACGCTCTGAGCTGGGCTCGCTGCAGCTGCATCAGTAAAATAGCAGGGAGGAGAATGAGACCCAAGCTTTTGATCCCAACCCCACGTCATGGAAGTCTGGATTAAGGCAGTTTATGGCCTAGTGTATAAATCATACAAGAGCTGGGAGCTGCCTACTACACTGCTGAGAAGCCAACTTTCCTTTCCCTGTTCCACCAAGCCTCTTCTTCTCAGGTTCCCTCTCCCGGGGCTGGCGGCTCTCTCACAAGGGAGAGGTTGGGATCTGGCAACCTTCACAACATGTGAGTCATCAGAGAGCAGACCAGCAGCGCCTGTAATTTCAAATGCAGCAGAAAGGAATGCTCCCTGGAAGCACTGCTCAGCCTGAGGGGAGGGAATTGCTGCTTCTGTGACTCGCAAGAGGGGCAGGAGACGAGGGCCCCCTGGAACCAGCTGCACAGGTCTCGCAGGAAGGAACGTTCCAGAGAACCTTGGAGCTCAGTTCCTCAGTGATCCTCCTCTGCTGCCTCAATGCCCACTCCATTTCACAGCACAGCCTCTCCAGGGACACGTTCACCACCTGCCTGCACTCCCCAGCCCTGAGGAGGTGCAGCTTCAGCCCAAGCAGGGCACAGACACCTGCCCAGGTGCACAGCGTGACTCTCCTCTGATAAAGGCATTTCTGCTCTTTTCCATATCAGGGCATTGCTGCTGCCTCAGAGAGGGGGCTGGAGCTTTACCAGCAATGCAGAGCCGAGCAGATCAGGCAGCATGGATGGATACACACCTTCCCAGCCACGGGAGCAGCAGCATGTGAGGATGCTTAG